CCTCTTGGCCTGGCCAATGTGAGCAATGCTTCCTGTGTAGACTTGTCTGGCACATAGGAGAAGCTGAGGAGTTGAAACTTGTCTGCACAGCTGGGGAAGTCTTATTCATTTGCTGGACTTTCTCAGTTGACATGTGTAACCACGCTCTTCCTTTTTTTTTCTTTCTCCAGAGAACTTCTGGCGCCAGGCTACTCAGAAACATACTATAACTCCAGTGGAAACGAGGTCACTACAAGTCCACAAACCATGGTAAAACACCCTCCCAGGTCCCTTGGTAATGAAGTGTGCCCTGCAGGCCCACATACAGTGTCCTTGCCAGGCAAATAGGACTGTAACTGCCTTTACAGGCTTGGTGCTGTTTTTGTTTTTTTCTCCAACAGCAGTAATTACTTAATTGATCTTCTCAGATTATTATATTTCCCTAAGAATGATAAAGGATGACCCCAGTAACCTTTTCCAATTCTCTTGGGAGGCAGGCAGTAAGAGTGTATATTTTCATTACAGTTGTTTTCTGCAAGGGACTCTGGAATGTGATAATGAATAATAGATAAACATGCTTGCTGTTTTTAGCCATTTGCTATCACACCTCCAAATTACATGCTCGGTTATACTCAAGACTACTTCTTCAACATCAACTGTAGGATTCCATATCGCCATAAGTAATTTCACTCTTGATCTGTCTCCTGAGCTCCCATATGGAGCTTGACACATGGAACCCATAACTGTGTGGCAGCATCCTCCTCAGGTCTTCTGTCGATGTTGTGAGCCTTCAACCCTTCTGGGATCATGTAGCCCAATGCCACATCCCTTCCAAGATAGAGGGGTCTGGTGTGGAATGGCCACATGGAGAAATAACTCTGACACTTTGTTCCATAGAACCATGGCATGTTGTGCAGGTTCGTTTTAATCTAGTTTGACTCTTTGGACAAACACCCTGAATAACCCATAGGTTTAAAAAGGGGAAATTGGGGTGGGGGGGTCACTCCAAATTGGAAAAAGTACAAAGAGCAATACGTTTTTGAAGAAGGAAAGTGAAAGTCAGATTTTTGGAGACTCGGATTTTAAATTAAGATAACAATCCATTTTTTTCTAAATAGTCTTCTACTGCTTTGTACTGTTTCAGCATCACCAATGCATTATAATAATGTATAGAATATACTATATAGTGTATAATGTTATATATTACACTTTATTTACAGTACTATATATAATATACAGACTGCATAATATAAACATTTGGGGAGTCATTAACTATCACAAAGGATTTAACACATAAAATGCTTATATTTAATTTTTTAAAAAGTCTCTAACTTAATGACTGTGCAGCAGAAAGCTGTTCCCATTCCAGGATTTAAAGTTCTAATTGATCATGAAGTCTAAGACTTCTGAAGACTTTCCTTTACAGAATACTTTTCATTTCCCTTAGGATAGCTGTTACTACCAAGGACACATCATAAATGAGAAAGTATCAGAAGCCAGCATCAGCACATGTCAAGGTCTACGGTAAGACTTCAGAAGTATTTCCACCTCCCACTGATATAGAGCTCATTTTGATAAGTCTGAAGACCCTCAAGTATAACTAGTTATATAATATAGTTAAGTGTGATTCATAAAGGCTACAAAATTTTGAAATTTTGCATCAAAACACTATTTCTTTTTAAAGCATGAAAATTATACAACTGAACTGCCTTACATTTTGTTTTTATTCCTCTGCTCATGTAAAAGTGAAGATTTTGAGATTTGATTTTATAGTCAGACTCTTTGAGAGTGTAGGGTCTCTTCTGCTTTCTCTCCTCATTTTCATTTCTCTCTAATTTTTATTCTTAAAAACATCTGTATCTTTCAGCCTGTTAGTGACTCCCCATGTGTCTGTCTACCCTATGATATCTCATCAGTACCAAGAACTGACCAATTTCCTTTTCTGCACTTCAAGTTGGATACCGTAAAGAATCAAGTCTCAATGTGTTCTAAACCAAGCAAATCAATTGTCTCACAAATCATTATTTTTCCTGTGTTGTTGACCTCATGGATGAAATAATTAAGTAATAACTTAGCTAGTCAGGCATCATGAAGTCTTTGAAGATTCCATTCCTCATCCCTCCAGCTCCCATTTCCTTATCAAGCTCCTAAGATTATGTCTACTTGTTTCTTGTTTGTCCACTGTATCTGTCTCTACTGAAACAGTCTACATTAACTACCATGTACTTCAACTAAACCATTTAAAACAACACCCACTCTTGCTCTCTCCCAGTTCTAGACACTGCATACTCATGCATTTCTACTTCATACTAATTAGATATAGTATCATATATATCTTTGCTAAATTACATATACTTTTTTATTATTTCTCCACATTTTCCTCATTTTTGAATACAAGGTTCATGAAGGAAGAGACTGTGGACCTCTTTTATCCCTTGCATTTAGTACAGTACTTAATAGTCTCATTAAATATGATGCAGACCAATTTTAAAACATTGGAACTAAAAATGAATTAAGAAATAAAAATACAACAGCAATTACTCATTATTCGCACAATAGCTTATAAGCCTTAAAAATAAATCTAGTTAGCAGTCAGCCACTAAGGGGAAGAATCGAGTGGGGTGGTCAATGACTCAGCTCAGACTCCAGTACCAGAGTTTGTGACAGAGTTGGAAATCTGCCCTGACCACATGCTTCACCTGCTTTCTCTTTCCACCACTACCATCCTCCTCATAGCTAATCTCTTTTTCTCTTTTATAGACTAAAAAATGAGGCTGCTTAATTAAATAATGTTTCTCTGGATTCTTAGTTAATCAGAGACAGGCCTAGAACTGTAATCACTTACAAGACTTGGAAGCATTCCATTCCTTCCCTTTCAAAGCCCCTGTCTAGCTGGAGAATTTCTCTCCAGTTCCCACCAAGTCCTGACAGTCCAGGAGCCCATTTATAAAATAAACACACAGACTTACATTATTTAAACTGCTTGGCCATTAGCTCAGGCCTATCATTGTCTAGCTCTTACTCTTATATTTAGCCCATTTCTATTAATCTATACTTTGCCATGTGGCTCGTGGCTTACTGGTACCTTACATTTTTCTTGTCCTGGCAGTTCCAGGCAGTCTCTCCCTCTCCCTTCCTGTTCTCTCAATTCTCCTCTCTGTTAGTCCCGCCTATACTTCCTGTCTGGCTACTGGCCAATCAGTGTTTATTTATACAGAGCGATATCCACAGCACCACCGCAGTGTCAGAACAGGATGACAACTGGGGACTGAGTCAGGAAACATCTCTAGAGTCAGAAACAAATAAGTTGGGTTACTTTGTTACCAAAAAACTAAACTTCTTTGGCATTGGCTAGGAAGTGGTGATGACTTGGAGGACTCTGTGTCTGGGCAACTCCAAAAGAGAATCATTTTGTTAAGAAGCCTGAATGCTCATGTTTCTCAGGGGCTACTTCAGTCAAGGAGATGAAAGGTATTTTATCGAACCTTTGAGCTCTGTGAGCCTGGATGAGCACGCACATGCAGTCTTCAAGGATGACCCCAACGAAGACCAGGCTAACAGCAGCTGTGGCGTGGATGATGTGTTATGGCAACAAGGGCTACATCAGAGAGTGGTCCTGCCTGCCTCCAGGCTGATTGTATGTAGAGTTTGATTGTTAATTGGTACTTTTGTTTTGTTTCCTAACCTGGGCTCTAATCTTTGTTCTTCTTTTCATATGTATGTATGTTGTATGTGCATGCATATATGTATACATGACCCTATAGGTGTCTGTGGAGACCCCAAGTTGATGTCAAGTGTTTTCCTCCAATGATCCCCAACTTATATATTGAGTTACAGTTTCTTGATGAGCTCAGAGCCTGCCATTTTTGATAGTCTTCCTAGCCAGCTTGTTCTAGGAATTCCCCGTCTCTGCCCTTTCTGTACTTGGATTAAAGACAGGCTGCCACACCTTCAGAACTTTCACAGTGGGTTTGGGGATCAGAAGTCCAGCCCTCACATTTTCACATGGAGGGTTTTATCTGCTCAGACACCTTTCTAGTCCTTGGTTCTAATCTCAGCAGTGTTCTTGGTTCACATTTTATAGCCACTAATGAAACTAATAATTTATAGTTTTACTAATGGTAAAACATTGTTGTATAGTAATAATTTACTTAGTAGGAATTGGCAAAAACTATTATGATCAACCATATGCAAAGGCTAAAAAGAAATCTGAAATATGATACACCACATAGGAGCAGACAACACTCACAGTACCTTCTGAAGCTCACAGCAATGAACAAATGTATGAAGACTTTTCTTTCAAGGTAGAAATATGACAATGTGTCCTCAAAGATATTCACTGTACTAGGAATCCAGTAGCAAGGAATATAAACACACGATCTATCTCTAGGAGCACAGAATATTCCTTTTTCTGGAGAATAAGACTCTTAAAAAAGATTTATTTATGTATTTTATGTATAAGTGTCAGACACCATGAAAGATGGTTGTGAGCCACATGTGGTTTCTGGGAATTGAACTCAAGACCTCTAGAAGAGTAGCCAGTGCTCTTATCTGCTAAGCTATCTCTCCAGACCCATAGAATATTCTTATATGGAATCTTGCTTTTTTTCTTTAAAAGGTTCTAGGCATTAACTATTATTAAAAATATATATTCAGTCTTGTAGCCATGTAAATATCTGATACAATGTTAATATATAAAATAGAACTACTCTTTTTTATGTACCAAGCACAATATACTTCTTTTTCACTTTTTTCCACCCCAGTTAAACACTGTTCCACCCACTGTTCATTATTCATTGTGGACCATATCTGGGGATTATTGTTGATTTCTCTTTCCTTTCTTCACATGGTATGCATCTCTCAGCTTCCCTCCACTTATTTTAGCTCTTCAATGGGTTCTCAGGTATGGTCCCAAGATCACCATAACAACAACTTATATCTGTCCTTTCTATGTCTCCTCCAACCTTAGCAGGCTCTACTCTCCCTGGCCTAGGTTGAGTGATGTTTCATTATAAATTGCATCATGTTAAAGCCTTTGGATGGCTTTCCATTCATCATGTTTAGCATAAAATTCAAACCACTGCCATGAGTTATAGATGTCTGCTTGATTCTGTCTAGTATCCCTTACTTTGTATGTCTCCCCTATCAATTTTCCATTCCATTTATTCTGACAAAAAATCTTTATGTTTTTTAAAATATCTTTGTCAATTAAACATAGAGGTTTGGGTTTTACATTTTCTTTTCTGGATTGCATTCCAATTGTTTTTATTTCTTGTGTTTCGGTTTTGATGAGTATGCCTTATAGTCCAAGTCTTTAAAAGGGTAACTTCTAACTCTCTATTTTGAAATCATTATCTAATCACCCAGCTTCAATCACTCATCACATCCACTCCACAGTAGTTACTTGATATGTGTACGTGCGTGTGTGCATGCGTGCATGTTTGAGTGTGTGTGTGTGTGTGTGTTGTGAGTTACTAAGCTGCTGGACCAAGTAGACTTACCTATCCAGTCCCCAGAGTGCTGTAGCTGTGTAGAAGGTGCTAGTAAGTACCCTGTTCCCATGGACAATGGGAGATAGGTATACATCTCACTAGACAATATATGAGTTCTGCCTTCAGTCATTTTCTGTTTCTGATGATGGACGCATAAAACACAAGCATTTCTGAGCTTTGTCTTATGCAGGCCTGAATGTTGTGGTAGAGTTAAAATAGTAAAACTGTCTGTCTTGATTGTCAGATACAATCTAACCTCTTCTAAGGTGATACATGCTAAATCAGAGATCAACAGAGAAACATTGTCTTAATCGTGGTCTTCCTTTTATTTCAGAAGTTGAATGACAGGATTGTTCAAGAACCTAAGAAATACATTGAATATTATTTGGTCCTGGATAATGGTGAGGTAATTGATCAGATAAATGCATCTCACAAAATTCTCATGTACATAACTTTTTGTATGAAATAGAAATGTCTGAATCCATTTAGAAATCAAGAACATGAGCTGTACAGAGAAATTATTCTAAGTCTATGAAATTTATATATATATATATATATATATATATAACAAAATTTACAGATGTTTCTTCTCAGAAAGAAGCAACTGACAAATATACATAAATCTCATTGTTGGCCCTTTAAGTCTCTTTTCTTACTGTCTTTAGAGATCCAAATTTAGATTCCATTTAAACTTCTTCGTCATGTTGTTATTGGTAAAGCAGTTAATTTGTAATGTAGGATTTATGCTCTGGAGGGAACAGTCATAAATACAAAGGGCAAGTGGAGGGGTTCTTTGGAGAAAGGCAATCTTTGGTGATAGATACTATTTAATTTATTTTCTTTAATTTATTTTTTTTAATTGTGAGTTTCTAAACAAGTGCTGTGTTTAATGCCAAAAAGAAAATACTTGAATATCAAAACTATTGGGAAGTTTGTTAGCCCAGAACTCAAATCACTATTCTCATTTTATTGGATATATCTACGATGCACATGTTTAGAAAATGGTAAGCTATGCTTTGTTCTGATTCTGCACAGTTAGAAAATCAAGAAAATTAAAACACATTTAGAATAAATAAATCCTTCATTCTATTGTGTCATGGTTTTGCTTGAGACAGAGTCTTGGTATATAGCCAAGGCTGTGAAGACCATGGTCCTCTTGGTTTGGCCTTCCACTGTTGAGAGAACAGGTATGCCGCCAGGCATGGCTAAATTCCTAAGAGCTGTATGCTATCCTATTTCAAGGAAGAAAACATAATGTTATTTCCAAAATGTTTTAATTTCCATTAAAAAATGAGTTGATTTGCTTTTATCTTTTAAATATTAATTATAATCTTTTAAATTATATATTTTAATATATAATTTATATATTATATATTAAATTTATATATTATATATAATATTATATATTAATATATAATATTAAATTAAATATTAATTATTATCTTTTAAATTATAATTATAATCAGGGTAAAATAAATTAAATTGTCTTTTTAATCTTTCAATTATTTTAATTTCTATCAACCCCTATTTCTGTCTTTTCATTGCCTTTCAGTTTAAGAAGTACAATAAAAATCTTGCTGAAATAAGAAAGAGAGTGCTTGAGATGGCCAATTACGTCAACATGGTATGATATTTTCATTAACTGTAACTTTAAACACTTTGTTAAAAGATGTTCTTGAGTGTTTCTCTGAATGAACATGAGTCCAGGAAGGCAAGCCAAGTATCCTGAGGCTAAGGCTGAAAGGGACTCAGAGGAATGATGATGAATTTTGCTATTTCAGTCGATATTAACGCTTCTGAAAGGGCAGCTCTCAGCGGGCCAGAGAGACAAGAGCAGAGGTGTAGGGATGGTACAACTGCCTCCATACACAGGAGACTTCTGTGAGGACCAAGGCTTAATTCTTCATTATAGTTTTCTTTCTGTAGCTTGTTCTGTTCTACGTTTTTTCCCTTATCCCTTTTATACCACCTAAGACAAATATTTCTCTGCAAGGAAAGATTGCCTCATAACCACAAGTTATTTATTTTCCAAAAATAAATTAAAATCTTTACAGAAGAAGAAATCACATTATGATCACAAGTTACATGTTTTCCTTAGAAGTCCATAAGTAGTTAAACATTTTTCTTTGTATTAATTTTCCTACCATAACATCTTCATCCCAAAGCAATGGTTCTTTTATGACTGATTAATAAAGTTTTAAGCAAGCTAAGTATGTTTCAGCCAGTTCCTTTTGTACTGGTGGGCAGCTGTTGGCTATTTCACTGTAGCAGATTTCTATCCTTAATTCTACTTTTGAGAAACTTTAAACAAGTGGTCAGCTGGTCACTTACTTTTCTTTACACCCAATAGGGTAATTTAATTTCCCTTCATAATTTTTTTCAAGATGCATATCGGGGCCTGTAATTAATTCTGTTAAGTTACATGACCAAGGAACTCAGGCCAACCTTGGGTGTAGGGACATAATTGCTTCTTTAATCATCAGCCTGTTTTTCCACAGGCAGAATCCATGGGTCTATAATGCATGAAACTTCCTTATTCTTTTTTTTTAAATTTTTTTTTGTTTATCCTTTGTATTTATTTATTTATTTATTTAATTTTACAATACTATTCAGTCTATCAGGTCGAAACTTCCTTATTCTTATTGTCCATCCTCTGCAGATCTCACATCTAACAAAGGGGAAGGTTATTGGGGAAAATTATAAAGGCCACTCCACGTAGTTAAAAGGAAGATTTATTTAGTGGATGACTTACAAATGAAAGAATGGATAGGTCGCGGGGGTCTGGGGAAGGCGTATAGCAATCCAGCGGTGTTCTCTGGAGCTCTGCACAATCAATCTCCACCATCCAGGGTCCAGGCGCAGAGAGCGCGCCCAGAG